AATTCATAAATTAAGTTAAGAGTGAAATATATTAAAAATATATCCATTAAATAACTGACATATTTTGTAGTTGAATTTCATATTTCAATTATTAATTCGACGGTGCACCTCTTTCTCTTGCTCGTGCTCTCTCTGTCACTCTCTCTATGTGCCTCTATCTCTCCCATCGCTTAAATTCTTTGTCCACACCTCGCTCACGTAACGTGTTACTTTTCAATTTATATGTGCTTCACTCGCAGAGCTCGCGCTAGTTGCATTTCCACATTAAATATGAAAAATCAATTTCAGATTGCAAGCAACATCTAACCGCAGAATCATCGCTTCATAGCCACACACACACAAATACACCGCACTCACACACACAGAGAGACAGAGAGAGAGAGAGAGAGAGATTCCCGCTTAAGGGACCAACACATGGCAGTTAGCATATCCAGGGCACTTGCAGATTGCAATTGCAATGCAGCAGCCCTCGCCACATAACAGTTTATTGTCGGTGGGCAATGCTTACATACATACATACATATACCTACACATACATGCTGAATAAATGCATATGCAGAGTGATTCGATGGCAGGAGCAAATGCTAATGCTCGGTTCGGTACGACCTGCTCAATTCACATGACTATATTAGCGCTGAGGGCAGCATCGGCGAGTTTTTCTTTCTGCCGGACTTCGGGACGTCGGGGGCATTTGCATAAAATATTGTTGCGGTTCTCGAGCTGCCCTGAACATGCATCCACACAAGCTGACTACTGACTGATTGATGATTACTTTCGGAGAAATGGGCTGGCAATACTATGAAGAGTTCACAGCGAAAACATAGCTTGAATGAGTATCTATATAAATGAGAAACCAGAATTTTCAACTCATTTAAATATAATTAGATTTCAACTAACTATTCGGAAAGTCTCAGTCTGAGTGTGAGTGTGTCTTTAGGGTATGTTATCGTGCTTACTTATTATTCACCATTTTTTACTCCATTTCCAATTTCACAATTTCTTATCCAGTCATGTTTTCCTTTCTCTATTTACTTTTCAACTATCAGTCAGTTCTGTCAGTCGATGCAGATTTTCTTTAGTTTATATAGGGTATATTTGTTGGCTCACTTTGGTATTTATGACCCTTTTTTGTTAGCCTTACGCAGGCATTTTTAATGGGTTTTATTTTAGCGCCGGGGCCAAAGACGGAGTCAAATGCTGAAAGTTGGCGGCAAATTAATGAAGTTTTCTCTGGCATATGATTAAAACTTTGCTCTCAGCTGCATATGGATTTTTTTGTCTTAGTTTAATTTTATTTCCATGCATTGTACACGGTGGGTGGGTGTATAAGTGGAGGCGTGGCATTCATGGCAAAGACATTCGCTAAAGTGAGCCGCAAAACTTTTTGCCCGTTACATTTTCATTTCCATTTTCATTTGCATTTCTCTCTCTCTCTCTCTCTCTCCCTCTCTCTCTCTCTCTCTCTCTCTCTCTCTCTCTCTCTCTCTCTCTCTCTTTCTCTTGTGCTGCTGCTAAGTTCTATTACAATAAAGTCTTTTGGTTACATTTTGTGCTGGGCACACTCCATTCCATGCGCCGGCATCAAGCACAGATTTGACCCAGTTATAAAGCCCAGATCACGATTCTTTTACTTTACGATTTTACCTAGCTTTGGGCTCTTATTTTATTTTGTTGACTCCGTTTGCGTCTCTTTTAATTGTCTTTGCATGGCTTTGACTGCCCTGTGTGAGGGAAGTATTTTTCTGGCTTGAAAACAGCTAGATGAACAGCCGGATGAGCAGCCAGCGGCTGAATATATTTAAATTGTTATGTTTACTCATAATTTATTTAAAGTCATCCAGACAGCTGTTCAGCGGGGCCTTTTTTTGTAGCTTTTTTTTCATTTTGCGTTCATCCATTGTTCAGTCGTAATACTTATTTACTTTCTATTGTTGTACAAAGCGGGAGCTCACTGTGGGCATGGTTTTTATGTATGTATGTATTCAAGAGTCGAGTATTAGACCCGCAAAAGCCATCACGTGAGCTTCAAATGTGTGTGGGAATTGAATAAAAAGTTGTTCGTTAATTAATGACGGAGATTAAGGATTTATATGAATGAACCTTCCTCCACTTTGGACATCTCGGCTTCTAGCTTGTTCGTAGTTTTAATTTTAGTCGACCACGACATCAGTACAGCATACAAATATTCTTCAATATTCAATTGCCCCGTTTCTCTGTATGAATGTGTAACATTTATAATATTGAATCTAGAGCCTGTAAAATTGAAATACATATTTATGTACACATATGTATGTATGTATATGTATATAAACATATACTTATAATTTTAAGAAATGTTTACATTGTATGAGAAATTCGTGACTTCCGTCTCTTAAATGGCTCGACATACTTAGTGCATTTCTTTGCCAAGCTGTCGTGACGGTTCTAATGCCTGTACACAATAACTATTTCTTTTCTTATATAGCCCTTTATTAAATAAACAGTTAAGGGACATTATATTAAAAGGAATTAAAGGCAAAGTTTGATTTACAAAATATATTATATATTTTGAGGTCAAGCTTGCGACTAAAATACTGCATTTCTCATTTAAAATAAAACGACTTCATTTTTTAAGTAATTGCGAACGAAAAAGATTGTTATCACTTTAAAATTAATTAGGCTCATTACTTAAATTAATATCAGAGTTCACATGAGATCAGTTTTAAATGCATCTGCCGTATGAAACAATAAAATTTCATCTGAATTTTTAGGAGATTTCAAACATAGCTTAATATGAACAAGAGACTTTGAACTTACCTTCCAGATTACCAGCGAAGCAATGAAATCAGGTTAATTCTTTCATCAATTTAGTAAATGGGGCAATATCAATATCGAACAAAGGTTTCACGAGTTTTTATCGATACTATTAATGACTAATGCAGTTCTAATATGGCTAATGCATTGCTGAACATAAGCTACGAAGTGCTGCAGCTGAACCAAACTTAACTATTTTTGGAGCAACGAAATTTCGCAAGTCAATCAATCAATTACTATTTTCTTCCACCGCTACCCATTAGGTAGATCACCGTTTCCAAGGCCCACCGGTTGATAATTAATAAATATCGGTATTTTTAGAAGCATTTTCCCTTTTATTTCTTAATTCGATATTCATTCAGTGGCTGCAAATCTGTCAAAATCAGAGTGCAATTAGAGGAAATTTTAAATGAATATCTATAAAAAGTTTTGCCATGTCACTGATTTCCCTTGGCCTTTTTTGGCTTTGGCTACCCATGGGGTTCGTCCTGGGCTTATTTGCCATTTGAGTTGCAGTCGATAGTCGGATTTCTATTCAATGTATAAATCCGATTCTGGTCGCTTTGACAGCACTTTTACCGTAATTGCAATACCATTTACAGCTAATTCAGTTAATTCGCACTTGGGAAATGCATTTTCCTCGTTCATTTAACTCTGTTTTAACCGTTTTTTCAATCCAACTGGCAACAAATCGTGTCAGGCAGGCTCTGGCTCAGGGCCCGGGCCAGTCGAGACGACGGCTTTTTAATTAACAGGCTGCAAGAGAGGGCTACAAGAGAAAGAGAGAGAGGGAGAGAGAGCGAGAGCTGTGAAGCGTGGGAGGGCCCAGAGCAACAGCAACAGAAACAGCCATGGGCGATGGGAACTGGGGGAAAAAGGTCAGGCCAGGTAAAGCTAAAGGTAGAAGGGAGAAAGGAGAAGCGCAAAAAATGACTGAAAGGTCTTTCAGACAGCTGTGAGCTGGCTGCATTGGCTAACTGGCAGCTGGGCTGTTGCCTTTATGAGAGGGGGCGGCACGGGAGGGGACGATTGACTTGATTAAAGATTTCACACTTGATTAAACATTAGCTGTTGTTGTTGTTGCCACACAGCTCCAATTGCAAGTTTCAAGTTCGTTGCAGCAATTGATGAACGAAATTTAATTTTGTGTTTTGTTCGTTTTTCGGTTTTAATTTCCGAGGTTGGCAGCTGTGCGAGTTGGCTTTTTATGGCAGTCGCTTCATTGTCGACAATAGCATTGGCAAAAACAACAGCAACAGCAGAAGCAGAAGCAACAACAAACAAAACAAAGGCAACAGTTAGTTTTTTGTGGAGCAAAATACAGTCAGACGAAGACGATTAATGCGCACAGCCAAGCAAATAAATGTGCAGTAAGGAGCGACATAAAAAAGGAAATGTGTGAAGTGAACATTGGCATTGACATTGACTTTGACATGAGGATAAATGTAAAGTTGAGCGTTCGGTTAGTGGGGAAAATTCGGTTGATAATTGCATTTTTAAGCATTTGAGTAATTAAGGAAAAACTCATAGCTATAGCTAGAAACATTAATTGATTGACTGACTGACTGATTGTTATTTATAAACTAATGTAACAATTTGAGCTATTTGACATCATTTGATAATTCGTTTGTGAGTTATATCTAAGTCAATCTGTTGACTATTGACTGAAAAACTGATTTATTGAGTGATACATTTTGTGATTGATAAAAATTGAAGTTATATACAAAAGTTCTGTTGAAATTTGATAGACTGAACTACGTAGTAAGCATTAGTTAAGCTGTACTGATTGATTGAGAAGTATTGGTGATTGAACGCACTAAACAGTTAGAGCTAGCTGCATAGCATTTTTCGAAATTCGCCTTACATTGATTGATTAATGGACCTATAGGTGAAACAAAACCTGAAACTTAAAACTAAACTGTCAAATCCAACAACCGAAAGTAAAATCATTTATGAGTCTAAGTTGTTAGCATCTTTAATAATAGCCCGATTGATGCGCTATACAGCGATACTAAAAGCACAGCTCAAGCGGCAAATCCAAAATAATAAATATTAAATATTCATAACAAATATGAATCACAAATGTTATTCATGAGCTTAATTTCATCATAATGGTTAAATGTAGCCTACCTCGATCCTTTTATAACATAAACAATCAGTTTTTACTGCAAATTTTTAATGACTCACATTTTTCGTTTGTTTTACAGCTGCTGTTCATTACTCGAATGCCATATTAAGAGGTAAGTGTATCTAGAGCTCACACTCGTTCGCCTTCCCCTCCTCTTTCCCCTTCCCCTTCCTCGTCTACTAGCTCTACGCATCACAAACGCCATTCAGCTATGGTTTTTCCCTGGGGCTCATCGTATCAATCTTAATTTATAACAAATTTAATATGGTTGGGACTCATTTTTTATCGGGACGTGGGGCAGAAGCAGCAACTGGAAATGGTGAGCGTATTCTCCCAGGACTTATCCAACATGACGCCTACGCGCATGGATGGAGGCCCTACCGCACATGCAAATGTGCAATATGTTCTCGAATGCGGACATGGCTTGGCTTGGTATTTGGTTACGGCCTGTGCTGTGCTCGTGTTCTCATTTTATCATACGTGGCACAGCGAATTCCTTCTGACCTTGCTGCAAGCGAATGTTGCGTATCCCATGTTGCGTGGAGGCTCGTAAATATGCTACGGTAAAAATCCACAAAAAAGGAGGTGCAGAGCACAGAGAACAGAAAACGTGTACAGCAAAACACACTTAAGTGATTTTATGGCGCCATTTAAATGGTTTTCAAATCTGCCAAACGTAGAACCTAAAGGAATATGTTAGCTCCTGCATGGCATGCCAAAGAAAGGGGACTAAGCCATAAATTTTCAGCCTGGCTTCGCCACCCAAATGTGCGCAATTCGCAGCGGATCTCAAATGTATGCAACACATCGCAGAGTGTGTTGAATAGCCTAGGTGAGTGAGTGTGTGGATGTGGGGCTGTGGTGGTTGGGTGCTTATATTCCGTTGTCTGCATATGTATGTGTCGTCAGCAACAAGTCGACGAAACACAAATATTTTGTCAGCAATCGGAAAACCTGAATAGAGCTAGATTCGAATTGGAAGATATCCTATAGTCTGATTTAAAAATGTATTACAAACATTATATTATATATGTAAAATTTACATATTCTATATATCTTCATCATCACAACTATATAAATTCAAATATATGGGAAGAGTAGAGATTATGTGAACTTACAGTTTGTAAATAGAGTTGTATGACGGCGAATAGCCTGTTAATTCAGCTTGATGACATATTAGTGACGTAAGTACAATACAACCTATTTCAAATCTGTTTGACTGGGTATGGATTGCTTATAGACATAGAGACAAATTGAAAGGAGAGGTATACGACTAGAACATACCCTGCACTTAATCAAAAGACTATTCCAGCAGGTAATTAAATTTAATTTTCAAACATTTCAAGGTCCTCAAATACACTGAGACAAATAATGTCTTACTGTTTGCTTGTCATACTGATCCACCCTCTACTCCAGCTCAAACTGAATTCCTGTGTAGTTCAGTTTCCCTGTGTTGAGAGTCCTGTCTGCAGCTTATCAAAAACTGTCGATTCGCTGAGACTGCCTATTGAAAGGGCGGCTGATTGAACGCTTGATTGACTGCTTCTGTCAGGTGATTGAGCAGCGAGGGGTGAACGACTTTATCTCTGTTGAAGTTGGGCGCTGGGCGAACATTTTGATTGCGTTGCCTTAGATAAATTATAACGCTTAGTCGAATGAGTTGCAGAACAACATGTGATTCAGCAATATGAAGTACACCCAAATTTAATGTCTGTCTTTATTTAACCGACTCGCAGATTGATGAGCCACTTTTAGTTAGGATTTGAATAGCAGTCGACGGCTTAAAGGGAATATTTATTAAATTGCTATTTGAAAATTTTATAAAATTTATTTACAAGCATCTACCGAATGGCAAGCTGTTGATCAAACAACAGTGCGAGAGGCGACTAACATTTAGCAGCTCTTGAGTCGAGCTCCTTCAATTGTACTCATTGTGTGTTGCGTATACGCAATGTGAGCCCAGAGAATTGCTTTGTTTGCTTAGGCTTTTGACTGCTTGCCGTTGGCTGGCGGCGGCAGCAAAGGCGCTTGTCAATATTTACGCTACCAAAATAATGTATAAATAATTGCATGTCACTCGGTAACAAACAAACTCACATTTATTATAAAAATACATACAGACAAGAAAGATACGTATATAAATATGTGTATGTAGAGCATAAAGACCATGTTGTTGCTCCCTTTTGAGCGTTTTATTTGGCTGTTGACAGCTCTCAACACCGCAAGCTAATCGGCTGGCTCAGCTGTCAGATTCGACATTAGCATAATGACAGCCAAGTGGGCGTGGCACAGTGCTACAATGTCACACGCAATAATTACAGTTATTTACGCATATGAAAGAAGAGGAAGAGAGAAAGATAGACAGAGAGAGAGAGAGAGAGAGAAAAACTCTCAACAGACAATTTATGACATATCCCAACATGAACATGAATCTATATATGACAAAGCAATATGTCACACCCCAAATATCAACACTGTTGTGACACGTGTGTGGGCGTGGCATAAGGCATCGTGACATCGATGCGAAATTGCAGTTGACAGTGTCTCTTTAATTATGCAAGAGCTAAAAAAAAAACAAAATAAAATAAAATAAAATATATATATTTCAATGCTTATACATATACAAATATATATGTGTGAATGTTAAAGCAGACAGCAATTACCCAAGAGTCGGTTTATTAATTAAGTGACCAGCAATTGGCAGCTCAGACAGCGGTCGTCGATGTTGGTCTCTGCGGATGCGGTGTCCGGGGACTACGAGCCCCGCCTCCTCTGGGAAATGACCCTCCATTAGGACTGCCCAGCCGACACTTATTGATATTGACAAGGGTTTAGAGCGAGCTTTTTGACACCTAAGGCATGGATTTTAACCTTTGGCTAGCAATCTGAGTGGAGCTGGGCGAGCGAACATGCTTTTAAACTTTATTTTCAAAAAAAAAAAAAAAAAAGACTTCTAATATATATAGCTGATTATATAGATTAAATAGTATATATACATCTTGACTGCACTTTAATATATATAAGAATTGTGTAGCTTATTAGAGCTGAGTATATAGAAAACATGGATATTACCTTCTATGAAAAATGAAAAATATTGTAAATTTTCTTATTAAACTTATAAGATTGTCAGTGCTTAAATTTGAAGTTATTTAATTTCAGATTTCTCTATTCTCTGATATATGAATAATAAGATACAGTAGCTAGCACTTTTGTTTATATGTTGGTCGAATCAACGTTAAAATACCTTGAAAACCTTAAAAAATACATTAATGAGTAAGAAGTCGAAAATTAGAGTTAGATCCATTAGATATATTTAAATAGGCAACTTCAAAAATATTTGTCACTTTTTGCCCATAAGTCTTTCAATCAGCCATGACTCCAGTTTTCCTCTCTCTTAACTTTTTTAAATATTTTATATTTTTAATATTTAGTCCAGAGCCCTTTAGGTTTAATCACAATGCGCTTAGGCAATCTCTCCACCAAATTTTCAACATGGGCATGAGGAAATTTGTCTCTTCATGCACCCGACACCAAAGTTCATCCATCTCTATCGTTGGGGTATTATACTTTACTTTGACAGCCCTTTTTACTTTTCACTCCACTCCATGACCATACATTTTTGAATTTCGATCCATTTCTTGACGACTTTCGCTTTGTGTTGGGTTCATTGTCCTGTTGAAACACAAGTTCTTCCACAAAATACGGACTATTCTCTAAAGATTCGGTAGATGCGTCAAGAGCTAAATGATAAACAAGTTTTTTTACTATACTAGATTATACAATAAGTGGACTTTTCTGGATAAATGCCTATATAGTCCACAGTCCATAAATTTGATTTGCAAAAATGGAAAAGTTTTAAAGAAAACTCATCCGCTGCCCCACCTTCCATGAAATCGAACAAGTTCTTGGGAAATATTTTGAAATATTAAATTATAGTTGAAAACCTCGCATAAGACAAAGATATTTGAGCTGCAATCCAGGAGCTAATCATTGTAGGCATATTAGCGCAGGCAAAGCAAACTTAGCTCTAAGTCAAACACGCGTTTCCATGAAGGTTTGCTTAAGCAGCCACTCGATGGAAGCCCTCAACTTGGCTAACACACATGCTTGCCAAACACTCCTATGTGTGCGTGGATGTGTGTGTGTGTGTGTGTGACATGTTGCGGTGAAATGTGAATTTTGTCGCTGTGTTGATTGTTATTGCTGTTGTTGCTGCTGCTGTTGGTTTTGCGGCTCATAAATCACACAAATTTGCGCGTGCAAAATTATTATATATAAAAGAGAATCAAAATAAAAAGTCTGATATGAAGCGTATGCGAGGAGGGGTATGCGAAGAGGGGGAAGCTGAACTCCAAGCCAAAAGCAAAACGCAATAAAAAGTTTTTGATTTTGGGTCTTTTTGTTTGTGAATGTGTGTGTGTGTGCGCCCGGGTGAGCAAACAAAATTACAAAAGCCAGACGAACAGACGACGAGTTGGACATGCCAAAAAGGTGGTTGCCAGAGGGGGGCTGGGGCGGGTGTGGTCAACAGCCAGACAGCGGCGGAAACGGAAGTGCGTAATGCCATACGTGGTCAGAGTCGTGTGGCTCTTTATTTTGCAGTTCAGCGAAGGTGCAAACTGTATTTTGATTAATTGCAGACGTGAAATGGCAAAGAACCACAACGACAACAACAACAACGAGAACAACAAGGAGAACAACAACGAGAAGAGGTATACAGGTATATTATTGTGATTCCGCTCGGGCTGTGGCTGACTTCTTTTGTTGTTGAGCCATGAAACAAAAGCCACAGGCCGCACTAAATATAAATCTAGGCAGCCATAAAACTGCAATAAAGAAAAAGGTGTTTTACACTTGTATTACATTTTAATACCCACACACACAGAAACACACACGCATACACATGCACAGACTCCAAAAAGGGGTTTTTGGCCACACAATAAAAAAGCTGACTTGTTATATTTTGATAAGACGCAAAGTTCATTTGGCAGTTTGTCAAGCTTGGACTTTAGATATAAATAAATAATGGCGATTTGCGTTGGCCGGAAAATCCATTGAGTAAATATATAATGTATAGCAAGTAGGCAGCACTGAAACTACTTTTTCACGGTA